TGTAAGATTACAGATAGACGAAGTCCAGGAGGAATAAAGCCATATCTGTCCAGTCTCAATACCTTTTGTTGTATATAACATTTCTTGGTCGCATAAAGTGGGAACTGAACTGCAATAAGCAACGGCAGCGCCAATGCACCCCAAGAAAAGTAGTTTATAACCTATCCCCACTTCATTTCTAAGAGATTTCAAAATCCCGTTTCCCGTTTTTGCATAAAATGTGTTAGAATGCGCTGAATAAAATGGTCCCATTTCATTAAGTCGATCTTCCCCCTGTTTGCACCACCAGTTCCAGGTGGATAACGCCACCAGTGATTGGAAGTTTGGGCGACCATTAGTCTCCCAGAATCGTTTTCAACTTCTGCTATAAACCGTTAGCATGCTGGACAATCTCTTAAACCATTGAATTTAGTCTAACTGACATGAGCTTGCCGGCGGTCATGAAGTTTGCGGCGGCTTTGGTGAATTTTGAATTGCCAGTGAAGTAAATTCTAGAAATAAAGCTCCATTTCTAAAACCAAACTAAATTTTTTATTTCACTCTTATTTTACATAGTGAAAGGATGGCCCGTGGCCCACCTGGAATATTTTGTGGACCCTGCTCGCTCCCCTCACCTGATGTTTCCTATAAACGCAACTGTGTCTATGTGCAGTTTTCCTTGGCTCATGTCCGCTGAACAGTCTGTCAATAAAGACCACGTCAAGATGCTGTATGATCACACTTACCTTGCGTTCTATACCAACCCGAACCTCCTAGATATGTATATGAACACCCAACACTGGTACACGAAAACGCAATCGCTCTAGAAATAGAAAATACGAGGCTTTTGAGAAAGGACAGTTACATGAAATCTTCATACATTTTCTGATGAGGTCAGCTCATAAAGGAGTTATAAATACGTCTTATATTTCTGAATAATACATTTTAAAAGCATTTTCAGTATAATTACATATATAGCATCTATTGAACTCTAATTATCCTTTTAGCCGATCACTTTTTCGGTATCCGCTCCCCTGTGAACTGAAATGATCGGNCTTAAAAGCAAATTTAGGATGCCCTGTTCGTCCCGCCGTCATGATCCATTGCTCTGGATTCAATCGATTGAAAAAACACTTCTTGGTGAAATTGGAGTATAAGGTAGGCAAACTATCCAATCTCTCAGCATCCTTGCTTAAAGGTATACTACCGCTTAGGTTGACCAAAAAATAAATTTTTAAACTTTGTCAAGATGAGTCTTTCTTCATCAGTGGACTAACCTGGTGACATAAATATACAACAAAATCCCCCTATAATCCAATAAATGCAATAAATGTTTCAATAAAATTAGTCAAGTCCAACTGATGAATATATACACTTGTTCACCAAATTTGAGACCTTAAATTTTATGTCCATTCTAAGTGGGAGTATCCCATTAATTGACGCCTTGTAAGCGAACACCACTTTGCACGAGTATTGTGTACCAATAACAATAAGTGACCGATATTAAGTAAGCTCTACAAATATCTGCAGTCTGATTAACATTACATTAAACTTCCGTTCCGTTTTTATTAGCTTTTATATTTAATGTAGCCACTTCAGTAAGGGTCTAACGATTGTCCTCTTGAACGAGATATTTTTGGGTGGGCTGTCGTTAGACCCTATCTGAAGTGGCTATATTAAGAACAAAAGCTAGTAAAAAACGTAAAGAAAGTTTGGTTTAATTGTAAGTAGGCTGAAATATCTGAATAATATATAATAAACGATAAGTGTGTATATCAGCATGTGTAACTCTGTACTTACTGGTATGCTGTACCTGGTTCTAAAGGTCCATTACAAATTTCCTCAGT